ATGCTGTTCCCTGACTTCTCGCCGGATTTACAGAGAAAACGTCGCTCCTTCATAGATGTCCGTCGCCAGCTTCGAGACAAGGGACTGAAATACGGTATGCTCTATCCTAGCAGACTGAGTACAGTTTGCAGGATCCACAAAATTCTTTGAGGACCCAGCTGCGGCTGCAGACTGGCTGGATACAGTGCCATGATATCAGATTGTCCTCATTTGTTTTGTCCCTACGCACCGCCGGGTGCTCCGGATCCCTTCTCTGTTACTACTTCTAAGGCCGCAAGGACCACCGGGACATATGGCTGAGGATGTACTTACTCCTGTAGGGAGCTATAGGAGCGGTACGGTAATGTATATTCACCGTTAATTGCTTTTTGCACTGTTCGGGACTGCCTTACTTCTGAGTATTGAGTGATACTCTCACTAGTTTTTTAAGTTTTGGGATCTAAAGCTGCCTCACTAGTTTTGTTGTTATGTGGGATAGCAGGGTGGTTGATGGGAAGTTACACTTTATACGCCATAGCCTCGATTGGGACTCTCCCTGGACCTGGATGCTTTCGGATGTGCAAGACATTCTCCATGACTCTCAGCGGTACTTGAATTTCCCACACTTCGATGGCAGCTGATTTACAGATAATTTCCTGGAATGTCAGAGGACTGAACTCTAGATTTAAAAGGGCCTTGGTCCTTCGGTTTCTTCAATCTCATAACCCCCAGGTTGTTTTTTTGCAGGAAACCCACCTTTTGGGAAGCAAGGTTTTAGCCTTGCAGAGGAGGTGGATAGGGAGAGCATTTCATGCCACCTACTCCTCTTATGCAAGAGGGGTGACTATATTACTGCACAAGAATTCTCCATGTGTGATTAACCATGTGATAACTGACCCTGAAGGTAGTACTGCTGGAACACCAGTCGCAGTCCTTTGCATTGGTAAAAGTATATATTCCACCCCCCTTCCAGGGCACGGTACTGTATGTCATTTTAGAGAAATTAGCCCCATACTCCCCTTCCCGGATACTGGTGACGGGGGACTTCAATAACATACTTGATTATTCTCTAGATGCGTCCAACCCCCACAGGACGGTCAATACCGTGTTGAGGGATTGGGCGGAGACAGCGGGCCTCACCGAGGTTTGGCGCTGGAAACATCCGGATGAGAGAGCATACTCCTACTTGTCGCATGTTTCCGGTTCTTCTTCTCCTCGGTTGGACTTGGCGTTCGCAAATGATGCACTACTGGCCCAGGTACTTGACTCCACATATCTGCCTGGGGGACTATCCGACCACTTAACACTTTCTGTCCGTCTCCTGGGTAACAAAGGAAGACAGCCGCACTTGTGGCGGCTGTCACAGGACTGGCTCTCTAACGATACGGTGGAAGCATCTCTGCGGCCTCACCTGTCTACCTTCTGGTCCATAAATCAAAATACAGCTACTGAAGCTGTTGTTTGGGATGCATTTAAGGCCACCACTAGAGGTGAATACATATCTGCGATTAAGCATGCTAAAATCGGTGGCTCGGTTCGACCTCTCTCAGCTTCAAGCTAGAGAGGTCGACTCCGCTGCTGCTCATGCGGTGGCTCCGTCACCGGATACGCTTAAGGAGTTGCTAGGGGTCTGCAGTGAGCTCTTACTACACCATGAATCTGCAACCCAGGGGATCCTCAATAGGCAGAGGGAGGCACTATACGAAAAGGGGGACAAAAATGTGAAATTACTGGCGATGGTGGCAGCAGAACAGAGGCCCCAGACCGTGATTCCCTGTATCCGAAGTTTAGATGGTTCATTGAAAACTGATCCGAGTGATATCCTCCACGAGTTTGTCACTTTCTACGAGACCCTATACAAACAGATACCCGAGTATGATGTTGCTCTCCTGGATACACTTTTAGGCTCGGTGGAGATGCCAATCATGAACTGGCAGATCTTACCCATGTTCTATGGAGTTGCCCGGTGATTCAGTACTATTGGCAGGGTGTGACGGACCTAGTGACAAAATTTCATTAATACTCCAATCCCACTTACAAGCAGAGTGTGTATTCTGGGCCTGGTAGATGATATAGTGCCTTCGGCAGCATTGCGCACTCTGCTGATCTACTTATTATTCTATGCAAGAAAACTCCTAGTCCTCAACTGGAGGAAGGCGGAATCTCCAACACTGGGCGCATGGAAGGCTTTGGTCAACACCTCACTGCCATTACACAAGCCGGCGTACGCCGGCAGGGGGTGCCCTCAGAAATTTGAGAAGGTATGGTCAGGGTGGCTTGCATCCAATACTACGCTAGGGGAGTGATCACCTGCCTTGGGCATAGCTGGCCGGAGGGGTGTTACCTGTGAAGGTCCCTCTGTTACTTCTTACATTCCACGGGAGTGAAAACCCTGAGGGGGCGGGAGACTAGTACGGAGTTCACCCAGAATCTGTTATCAGCATGGTTCCAGGAGCATGGGATGGAAGTTTGACTCAGTATTGTACATGGGCTCGTTAACTGTTTGCTAATTGTTATCCTGGGAAGTGAAGGGGGGTGGGGGCACACACTGATTGGTGCTATTGTTTATGGCGATTATGTAGGAATTGGCATATGTTATGCCGTAATGTATTGATAATGTGTTGTTGTCTAGGCACCATGTTGGTGTCATGTTGTACACTAAACTATGCAAAATGAATAAAAAGATTTTTTTTTAAAAACAACCACTTCATCTGCAAGAGTTGCTGAGCCCTCAAAATCTGCAGCATCACTCCTTGAGTCTGGGGGCAGCAGTGAAAAGGAGACTAAAGAGGGGCAAGGAGGATGAGGATATTCATGCTCAAATTAGAAATAAAGTCCAGACTTATTTTGCAGAGAGACCCCTTGCCAAGGAAGCATACCCTTTTAATTGGTGGAAGGCTAACCAAGAGAAATATCCTACTTTGGCAAAAGTTGCAAAATCCTACTTGTGAATCCCACACCATCAGAGCGCCTCGTCTCTGCTGCAGGCAACATTGTAAAAAGAGAGCCAGCTTTAGCCCCGAGCATGTGGACATGCTAACATTTTTACATTCCAATGCAAAGTTTCTGGAATAGTGACAGTCCACTATTTTTTTTTGTTCTGATTTTAAAAAATGTGTAAAAAGTTTTACTTTATTTTTTTTATTCAGGACTTGCAGTTTGTAATACTCAGTTTGTTAATGAAAGTGACAATAAACTCAGGAGTTAAATCTTACAAATGCATTCAAGTACCTTAACTATTAACAAAAATGTATCTTATTTGTGCATCACATGGCTTTACATCCTGAAATCATCTCTGATTTGGTGCTGACACTGTCCTTCCTTCTGGAGGGGGGCTACGTTTTGTTCCCCTGTGTGTTGTAAAGTAGTCACCTCTCCAAGCTTGCTCTACAATCTCAATACAAACTGGACTACACTAGTATTAGTACTAGTACTAGTAACTAGTATTCCATCACTGGAGCCCCTTTTTTTAAAATTATTATCTTTATCCAATTAATCGAAGTTAATAATTGGCTAACTAATTGATTATGAAAATAACGGTTAGCTGCAGCCCTATAAACATCCTAATTATTTCTGGAATTTTAGTGTACCACTTACATATATTTTTTTGTAATAATATTGTGCAGTCTAATGAAAATAATTATTTTTGCTATACGGCTCTATACGGCACAGGTGTTGTGGTAGGAACCATATTTTTGTGATATGTCTATATATTACAGTATACATACTGAATACAGTATGCTTACCCTCAACACAGTGTAACAGACTGAACATATCCCTTTTGCAAAGGCTGCAGCAGGCATGCATAGGCTGGAGAGTTGCTAAAACATATAGCCACCTGGCAGGTGATGTATGACACCTAAAACAAAAGTATTACTTTGGCTGGGGTGAACCTCTCTCGAACAATATCTAAGTTTTTTGCATAAATATTATATTAGGTTTTAAAACCCCAACAGAACTTTCAGTTTAAATCAGCTAAATACATTGCAGATACATAGGGGATTATTCACGAAGGAGCCGAAGAATCCAGCCGTAGCTTCGGTTGATCCTTCGGTTCTCTTCAGCTGCCGGAGCCCTTCGGTTCAGTCGAACCGAAGGGCTGCTGTACTGGCTATTCACTATAGCCCGCATAGCAGCCGTAGTTAGCCGAGCCGAAGGCATATGCTTTGGCTCAACTGAGCCGAAGTGACACCCGAAGCGGGACGAACGGCCTGCCGAAGGCCAGCCATAAGCCCCGAAAATGACAGCTGGGCAGAGCCAGCCGTGATCTTACGGCTGGCTCCACCCAGTTGTAATGACAGATTAGCGTCCCCCAAATGACTTGGGGACGCTGATCTGTCATTAAACAACAACTGGGCGCCCAGTTGTTAACAGCTCCGCCCAGTTGTTATTCATTGGCCGGGACCTGCTAGAAGACTCCAGCAGGTGCCAGCCAATAGGAAACAGTTGGGCGGAGCTAGCTGTCACTGCTAGCTCCGCCCAATTGATTTTTTTCTTTTCTAAAAAATATTTTTTTTTTATTTTACAATTTATTTACATTTTAAAAATATTTTTTCAACTTTTTTTTTTTTTTTAAACTGTTTTCATAGATTTTCTATTTTGCTCGGTACCACAGAGGCATTTGGCTATTCACTCACTGCCGTTCGACCCCTATGAAAATAGGGCCGAACAGTAGTGAGTGAGCGGCCGGATCTTCGGCTCTGCCGACCCAACATCTGTCCTTCAAAGTCCTTCTGCACTTCGGCTCAGCCAAACATGCAGAGCCGTGTAGAGTCTTTTCTACTCAGGCCGTGGCTGCCTTTTAAACAGGAACTGTAAGACTTTGCACACTTTTTGCTTTGAAGCAACTGCAATGTATTTAGCTGAGTTAAACTGTAATTTTAATTAGGCTTTAAACATGCAGTCTAGTTATATTTGGTGTAGCCATTTTGTAAGTATAAAAGTGCACAAATATTTTAAAGGAACACCCAAAGTGAAAATATATTAAAAAAAACAAAACATAAGTACTATTAAAGACTCACTCTGATATTGAATCCCAAAAGGTCACTAATAACACCAGATACTGCAGAAAGAATCACGACTCGGGTTATATTATATATTAAAGGGTTCATTGCAAGTCCATACAGCCTGAAGGGGGTGTCAATTTCCTGCAATGCAAACAGAAGTACTTGTCAATGTTGTTAGCAGATTCAAATATTCTGTAATTCTCTATAAAAAGCAGAATGGTGCATAGAAGCACTAAGTGTCAGGCAGCTGTTATGAAAGCTCATAATTTCAGACATGGATAGTAGAAATGCAGTAGTCACTGCAAAAGACATGGGGGCACTCTTTGCATCTGGAGGAAAAGTGGTTTAACCTTTGCTTTGCTGGAAATGATTCTTCACAGTTAGAGCTGTAAAAATATGGAACAGACTCTCCCAGGAGCTAGTTCTAGCTAGCTCAGTTCATTGTTTAAAAAAAAATCTGGATGTATTCCTAAATGCCCAGAATATTACTGGATATTTAGTTCTTATAGGTATATTAAGCATCAGAGATTGTTGATCCAGGAAATATCCAATTGTCTTATGGGATCAGGAAGGAATTTTTTTTGCCTTCCTCTGGATCAACAGTGGGTAATTGTGGGCATAGCGCTCTGTTTAGGCTCCCCCCCCCCCCCCCCCCCATATTTCTATAGGTTCAACACGATGGACATGTGTCTTTTTTCAACCTGACTAACTATGTAAAATATAAGTCGCCGTTTTGGCAAAATCTTGCATAGAGCATACTATGTTGGCAATATATTGGCAAAGGAAATTATAAACAAAGATCATTAATAAACAGAATTTACAATGTACATTTGCAAAACAAATATAAAGAAATAAAAAAAAATCCATGTATACAAATAACGAAAAGCACAATAATTGGCCAAAGAACTTTCCCTTAACAAAGCCTGGCACATTCATTGTTTCTATGGGAAAACTGTTAGGGGTTTAGTCCAGTGCGGCAATCTCACACTCATTAATGGGGTCATACTATATATAAAATAGATTATTTTTCTTATTATCTTTAAGGTCAGTTTTATTTTTGTTTGTTTTTTAAAGAAGTCTATAGGCAACAACTCTGATTAAAACAATTCAAAAATCAGCTAACAGTCATCCGCACTGAATTATTCGCTAACTGTAAATTTAAGAACTATCTCATGCTGTGCAAATACAAGGCAACCTTGCCTAAACATGTCTTAATAATCTCCTCCTATACATGGCAAATTAAATTCAAGGCTCTGATGCCCTTTTTGTGTTGATTTATATTGCAGCTTCTATAGTTACAGTGCTGGACGAATAAGTCCACTATCACCCCCTATTGGTAACAGAGTATATTTTATTACTAGAGTGCTTTAGATGCTTCATAAACAGATTTTTAAACAGAACAATACTGCATTCAATGCAAACATATATAAATAAAAAAATATATAAATATAATTAACTCTACCTGCACCAAAAGCTTTATGTAAAACTAGCACTAGTAAGGTATTGCTTGGATAAACACTACACAATATAATAAAGAAAAGGTCAGACACATTTTCCATGCTGAGCGGAGGCAAGCAAAGTGTTTGTTTTTTCACCCACAATCACCAATTCTCATTTTCTAACCTGCACTGGAAGAATGATAGCTGAATCTATAACACTGACTTGCTTTTGCTTCAATTTTATACAGCAACTTTTTAAATTTATTATATTGTTTGTTTACTATGGTCTCTATAGTCTTCCTCCTCTGCCTAGCTGTTATTACTATGGACTGGGATACATTTAATTATGGATCAAAATTGTATAACATTCACATCTTCTACTTTATTGGGCACTTTTTCAGCTGGCCTGCTTGGGAAAAAGACACATTTACTTCAACTGCAATTGAAAATATAATTACATCTTTAATAAATACAAAACCGCATTAACTGGCATTTTTTTAACACCTGCCTGTAATTAATCTTTGAGTGTACATTGAATTATCTTATAGTGACAAAGTACTAAAATTTACTGTAGTGTTACACTGAAAAATAAATTTTTAGATGTATACTTTTAACATTTAATGCAGGATGTATTTTGCCAATAATGTTACTTCCTAGTGGCCCTTAAGGTGAGCTCTGTGACTCATATTTTGTCTTGTCTTTTACAGAAAGCATAATTTTCTGTACAGACTACATAAAACATTCCTGAAAGCATTTTTAGGGAGCATAACTCTCTACAATCTGCTCTGAACATTAATCATAAATGTTCTGTCAATGCTTATGATTCATCCATGACACAAAACACGAAACCCTCTCCTGCTGTCCAAGGCTGGATTTCTGCATTCCAACATAGACTGTGGCCTAGGGCGGCAGCTCTGTGGTCCAACACTAGATTTCTGCGTTTCTAACATAGGCTGTGGCCTAGGGTGGCAGTTCTGCTATCCAAGACTGGTTTTCTCAGACATCCCAACCTACAAAAACTAATTTCAGGGAGGTGCCCTCTCCCCTATTCTCCCCCGGCGGATAGGGGAGTGGGTGGATGACAGATAGCAGGGGAGCTAGTGCTACCCCTGCCATCTGCTGTTTTTTTTTGTATTCTGACAGCGGCCACCGTCAGAATATTAAAAAAAAAACATAGCAGGGGAATGAATAGCCAAGCTGAACTTCAGGTCCACCTCTGATGGTTGACAGCAGCAGTGGGCGGGTGCAATAGCCAGCCTGCTATTGGCTATTGCAAATCGAAATGGCCAATAGCAGCCTAGCTATTCATTCCCCTGCTATCTGTTGTTGTTTTTTTTTCTATTCCTCCGGGGGCGGAAGACCACTGTCATAAAAAAAAAACAGATTGCAGGGAATCAGTAGATAGTAGGGGAGCTAATGCTTCTTTTGCTATCTGCTGTTTTTTTCTTTGTATTCTGATAGCAGCCACCGAGAAGTAATGTAGAACGGCCAGGGGAAAAGGTTTACTCTGCTAGATAGAGCAGAGTAAACCTTTCCGGGATAACATTTTCTAGGGATGCACAGATACTTTTCGAGTACCAGTGCAGATACTTGGCATTTTCATGAGAACTACCAGGGTTGCAGCAGTTGCAGCTGGGACCTGGCTCTGGTGATCCACCGCTGTCCTGAAATCATTAGTCTCTATTGTTTTAGAAAAACTGTCACATGACAATAAACAAAAATGTATCAGTACTTGTACTTGTAAGTACTCGGCAAGTACCAGTACTCGTACTCGCAAAACTGGTATCTGTGCATCCCTTTATTTATATTTATAAAAACAAAATCGTACATTAAAACAGAGATGTACAAATCCCAGGAGCTCCGTGTGCAGCTGCCTTCTAATTTTTCTGTAGTCTAGTCTTGGAGCTCAAAAGTATCGGTACATGTACTTGTACTCGCGGGCGTCAGGGAGCCGCCATCTTATCGTCCAGTAGAGTTGGGATGTCCGATTTATGCATTCCAACAAAAACTGTGGCCTAGGGCAATAGCTCTGTGGTCTAAGGCTAGATTTCTGCATCTCCAACATAGGCTGTGGCCCAAGGCGGCAGCTCTGCTATCCAAGTTGCATTTCTAACATAGGCTGTGGCCTAGGGCGGCAGCTCTGCTATCCAAGGCTGCATTTCTGCATATCCAGCATAGGCTCTGGCCTAGAATGGAAGTTCTGCTGTCCATGGCTAGATGTCTACCTTTCTAACTTAGACTGTTGCCTAGGGTGGCAGCTCTGCTGTCCAAGACTGCATTCCTGCATTTCAACATAAGCTTTTGCCTAGGATGACAGCTCTGCTATCCAAGACTGCATTCCAACATAGGCTGTGGCCTAGGGCGGCAGCTCTGCTATCCAAAGCTGCATTTCTGCATCTCCAACATAGGCTCTGGCCTATGGCTAGATTTCTGCATTTCCAACATAGGCTGTGGCCTAGGGAGGCAGCTCTGCTGTCTAAGGCTGGGTTTCTAATTCAAGCTGTGGCCTAGGGTGGCAGCTCTGCTATCCAAGGCTGGATTTCTGCATTTATAATTCAAGCTGTGGCCTAGGGCGACAGCACTTTCAGAGGCATCACAGAACCATTCACATAATCTATAGCTAATTTCAGTACAGGTAGCCCTTGTTTTTTTGAGCCGATTCCGTTTGCGCTGATTCAAAATAGCACTATTTTACGTGACCACCATTGAAACAACACTGCCACTTAGTGTATCCTTAAGGATACGCAGGAGAACGCTATACAGTACAAATGCAGATGGCTATAATACAACAGCACAGTACTGTGCAGAGTCTCTGGCGGCTAGATTGGGGCACAGGTGGAGGATTGCAGCTCAGCAAGGGGCTCAAAGAACTAGGAAGAAGAAAGAGGGACATTTGGAGGTATGGTGGTGCACACATGGAGGTATGGTGGTGCAGGGATACATATGGAGCTACAGAAGAGCACAGGGGTACACTTGGAGATATGGAGGAGCACAGGGTTAAACTTGGAGATATGGAGGAGCACAGGGTTAAACTTGGAGATATGGAGGAGCACAGAGGTACACTTGGAGATATGGAGGAGCACAGGGGTACACTTGGAGATATGAAGGAACAAAGAGCAACAGGGGTACCCTTGGAGCATTCATAACATTCATTTCAAAGCTTTAAATATAGCATATTATGTCATTTATGTCATTTTTGAGAAAGGCCCAGAACCTAACTCCTTCACTTCCCATTGACTTACCTTTATATACTGGGTTTCAATTTACATCGTTTTCTATTTGCAACTATTCCTTCTGGTACCTAACCCTGGTGTAAATTGAGGGTTACCTGTAATACATTCCTGTGTTTAATAAAAGGATTCAGACTACTGCCCTGGCTGCCAGTGCAATTTAGTTATTGTCTCTGTCCCTTCTCAATGTAAGCATTTGTGTGGGTGGAAAAGTGTACTGTGTGCTTCACCCACTCTGGGCTCTTACACCTAGGACTGTACTGCTAGCAGAAAAGGATGACCATTTTCTCTACTTCTCTAGCAATTGGTTCTAGGTGTACAGATACAGAGCGGGCAAACTGTCTCTTTCAGCCTTTACCCACAGATACTAAGGCTAGTCAGCTGAATAGGGTAGGTGTGGCAACACAGGACAGTTTGCGAAGGGTAGCCAGAAATATAAATCCGGCTCTGTAATTTTCTTGTGTGACTTCCAGTGGAAGTCCCACACATTCCAACAAATACTATTACTGAATCTGTTCAGAAAAGAGAAAGAAGAGAATACTGGAGGGGTTAATCTGGAGACTCCAGCAAGGAGATCTCACCATTGGACCAATGATGATTTATGAAAAGCTAGTGTCTGTTTCATCCTGCGTTTATCCTTTATTTCACGTTTGGACACTGAAACGTTTGTGCAAACCTAAGCATGTAACCATTTTCTTTACTGTGGTGACAATATAAGGAAACTTCTAAATATATGTTGTTTAACCTATCATTTTTGCTTTCATTTATTTACTTTAATGAGTTTAGAAGACAATTTCAGGACATTATTCACAATTGTAAGCTGTTCCTTTTTGTTTGGCTTCTTTTCCATTTTCAGATAAAGGTTGATCTGTAAATAGTAAATATTCACAAGTCAGGTATCCCACACAATGGTACAATGACATGCAAACAGAAAAGTGAATGGCAGTTCATTTAGATTAGTGATGGTGACAGTTACACCAGGGCTGCAACTAATGACTATTTTCATAATTGATTAGTTGGTTGATTATTTTTTTCGATTAATTGAATAAAAAAATTAAACAAATGCCATCCCTAATTTAAAATAAAATACAGTCTTACAATCAAAGTTTAGTTCAAAATAAAACTGCATGCACATTTTTTTGCAATTGCACTGCACAGCAGTACTGTACGTTCCTGTGCGGGCGATCACACTGTGAGTGGGAGGCGCGTTTGGGGTGCCATTGAAATGAATGGCACTGTGAGGCACCTCCCGCAGCAGAACTTGTCAGGCCGAAACTAAAAATGGCCCACCTTTTAGAATTTAAAAAAATAATAATTATATTGTAATAATATAGCGCTTGAATAGCTTCAGCCAGGGAATGACAGCTGACAGTGGCAAGATTCTGAAGATGGCAGCTGAATGTAAATATAGCAGGTAGTGGGCTGGTGCAATAGCCAGCCTGCTATTGGCCATTTCAAATTGCAATAGCAGGCTGGCTATTGCACCCGCACACTGCATGCTGTGCCCTCCTCCCAGAGTGGAGGAGAGAGCTAGGGGATCCAACCAACAAATCAATATTGAGAATAGTTGACAATCGATTATTATTATTATCGATTAGTTGGTTGCAGACCTGATTTACTCAGAGTGCAATACATAGGCAAGGCAAAACATAAACACATTGAGACATATTTATAAGGAGGCTAATCTGACATGCACCAGTGAATGTTTGGTGGATGTGTATGAAATCACAGTGATTGACTTACCATGAGTGAATGTTTAGTAAAAGCAATATTGACTGCTTTGGAAGTCTGCCCCATATATTGAATAGATACAATATATAACTCACTGCTATAGGAAAGTAACTGCACACCTACATGGTACTTACCTCTTTACATATAAAGTATGTAAGGTTGCATGGCATTATAGGAAATGCCTTCTTTGGTTTGGAAGCATCTCTTTGATAAACAAACAACTAAAGACTACCTATATGACAGTGTACAGCTTCTAAGGTAAACATTTCCATAAAAAAAAGGTTTAGAGTATTTTTTTTTAAAAAAGCAGAATTGATCTCTAAAGACCCTATGGAGGGGTAAGCTGTATCTTAAACAAAGTTGTTCTTAGGGGAAAATAATGGTTAGAAAGTTTGAAAAAAATCCAATTGGGGGGGTTGTCTGCAAAAAAAGGAAGTAGCAGAAAAAAAAAAAAAAAGTGGCAAAACAGCAATGTGCTGAATTACAGGTATTAATGAGTCTAAAATCAGGGGTGGGGGTTAGTACGAGGAATCAAGGGTGAAAAGCAGAAATTTAAGACTACCTTTTGTCATATGTAAATTCTTTACATGTATACAAAGGGATCATATGAACATATGTATAGTATATAAAAGTCTATAAGAGAATCCACATGGTTTCTTCAAAGACAGGTTTTACCTAACATCAATAATAAGGAACCAAGTTCAAATTTGAGTGTTAAAAAACTCCAATCACGTTATATTGTAAATTTAGATTTTGTAACATCATTTCATTATAACATCCTTGTACAGAAGCTGAGGGGTCAAGGACTAGAAGAAAATGTGCATAGATGGGTAAAGAAGGTTTTGAAATAAAAATACAATAGGTAATTGTAAATGGATTATATTTAAAATGGTAGCAGTGGTGTGCTACAAAGATCGGTTCTGAGCCGAAGTCTTCTCAGTCGCTTTATGAACAACCCGACAGATGGCAGAGAAAATAATGTTTCCTTTTTTACTTATGACATATTTAGGATTATGGAAACTATCTTAAAACCCAGCTCAAGCTTCCATTTTTATAACTGTAATGCAGTCAAGCTGCATGAACAATAATAGGTGGGTGTATTTTTTTAATTAACTAGTGTGCTGGAGCTAGGGTTAAAATGCACTGTACTTGTAGTATGCTGGAAATCTGCAAAGCTGCTCAACACAGAGCGCAGTGGTCCAGGTCTTCAGCAGTCCAAAATGTCGCCTGCCCAGTGCTCCAATCCACAGTGCTCATGCTCAGTGAGCAGAGCTGTTGTTTGCATGTTGGACACAGAAGCATACATTTCTTATTAGCTATCTAATCAGCTTGTTATTTTGTTTTGTGACATGCATCCCTTTAAACAGAGTTAAGCTCTGTTTACACTGCTCAAATTGCTTAAGTTTCAGTCAAGCTCTGCTGACTCAGCTAAAATTTGAGCAGTGTGTGGCCCTGACAAAAGTCAGTCTCTCAAATAACTTTCCACGATAGAGCCAAGTTGAAAAATCTTGGCCAAACAGCAACTGCAGCCAATAAGCTACAGTTACTGTTCGTGTATTCAATAGCCTGGCAGCTTAGATCCCCCATCGACACTGTTTAGAGTGGATTGGGGAATTGAGTGTTTTCTTCTTGTTCAATGATAAGCCTATGCCCAACTTTAGCATAAATCCCAAGACTGTATACTGGTATGGGAAGATTCTGATCCTGCGATTCACCATTATAACTTACCTGTTCAGTGTATAGTAGTGAGACATTGCTATACTTCTTGTTGGTCTCTGATCCCAGGGAAGTTAGACGTAGGAGAAAGATTAGCAGAGCTGCTTCCCAAATCAGGATCTCCCAGTTATAGAGATAATTCAGGAAGGTTTTATGTCCATTCAGAACCTATTTTGATGAGGCAAATAAATAAATTGTATTGTATGGAATATTAACTCCATGCTCCTCTATTGCCTACCAGGAAAGAAAAACTCCACCATAGACTCCCCTCCATTTGACAAAAGTCAGTCTCTCAAATAACTGCTGTTTCATAAAACTGACACAACAAATGATTGTCTTGTCCAGCAACTGTATCAAGATCAAATACATTTGCCTTCTTAACTTCTCAATAACCAATGAGACTCATTTACAAAAAAAAAAATGCATAACACTATTTGTATTTATACTGGCTACACACCATAACCAGAGCCAAATCATCCCCAAGGCAACCTAGGCAGGAACCTATGTCCAGGGGTCCCAGACACAGTCTTCATTAAAGGAGAATTATGGGGTTCACACCTGGGCGATCCTAATAGGCGCGCTTTATGCACGTTTTTAGCACGTTTTTTAGTCCAATGAAACGCGTTCGACGCTCGTTTTTTAACCTCCCTGGTGGTATGATTTTTTTTCCTTTTTTTTTTCTCCATCCTTTTTTCGTTTTTTTTTTTTAACTTTCAAAGTTCCCGCCGGTTCCGCCCCCCTGCGACGCGGACGCTCGCAAGGGACGGAACCCGGAATACTGCAGCGGCCGGAGGACACAGCGGGGATCGCAGACAAGGTAAGACCTATGCTGTATTTCCGAGTGTGGCTCGGGGTTACCGCTTTGTTAACCCCGAGCCACACTCGGGAATACCAATGGATAACCGCTGAAATCCGCCCCAAAGAAGCTCCTGTACTATTTATAACTGGGGACACATAGTACTATGTGTCGTCAGTTATTTACATGTTACATGTTACATCCAGGAAGCTTTTCTTTGTACAACGGCCGGCCGGTAGGCGGTTAACAGTGAATAGTAATAGCACTGACTTTTCCTGAAAGGTTTATTTCAATAATACAGTTCACTAATCTAACTTTATTATTATTCGGTCTCAAATAGGAAGTGCCTAACATGCCTCACAACACCCATTTACTGTAAGTCATCAAAATCTTATTGGTGGTTGTGATTGTAATACACATTATCCTCACATGAAATAAGTTTAAAAAAATAAGCCTAAAATAGCCACCACCCTTAGAGCTCGTTCACACAAGCGGTAGACTACTGCCCTTTTAAAAAGCCTTCCGTGGTGGTTGAGCAGCAGCTTGCAGGTATTCGGAAGGTTTTATACTGCTGCCTCCTAGGGGGAGGGGGATTCAAGGGGGATTTCACAAGGTACTACTGGACTACAAGCCAAGCGTTTGACACGCGGTTGTGGCATCACAGGTGGATGTGGCATGGTTACCTGCCAAACACAACATGCAGTATAATTTTTGTCACGCCACGAAGCAAAGCATCGTGGCCACGCCAATGAGTACAGCACTGTCCAGCTGCAATGCTAACTTTGGCAGTGGGCAGCCGGGGAGCGGTAAAAATGAAGATCAACTGCCTGCTTTTACTGCCCCTCAGGCAGACATGTGAACTCAGCCTTACAGTTCCAGAGTCCTACAAGTGTTCCTTCAAAAGGTAAATGCAACAGAAAACATTTTGTGCTCACTTGTGTAGACCTGGTATTTTTTCTAGTATTTCCAAAGCCTGCATTGATGTGACTTTCTGTATCATGGTCTAAAAAAACCAAAGAAAACCAAAGCACAGTAACCTGTAGAAACCACAACTCCCTTTACTGTTATCAAACTGGTAAATTATGATTTCAGAGCTGTGGTACTAATCAGTGACGTCGTGCGGTACGTCTGGCTCCGGGTGAGACATTCCCCAGCCTCGCCCCCAGCATTCCCCCCCTCCCCGTCGACCGAAGCCCCCCCCCC